GGTAGCAAGGTCAAACGCGAATTATCAAGAAATAAATTACATTTAAAATTAACATTTTTATTTTGTGAAAATAAGTGACACCATTTAGTGAGGTGCAATTTTTAATGGACTATTTTCTCTGGAACGATATGTCGGTTCACCTTGGACCTTGCATATTTATAATCAGCGGGCCAAAAATCATAAAATAAGATTAATCTGAATTCAAAATTTTTTTCTACATAAGATGAACCATTAGCCTATCAGCACTCAGCCACACTCTTTCTAGATACCGGCGAACACTGTCAATAGTGTCTTGACAGATTATTTCATGTTATTAAAAAATTATGTAAATATTGTATCAATATAAGTGTTGATTAGACAGAATAAATATTAAGTGGTAATTAGCAAACAATATCAATATAGCAAAGTAGAACACAATCAAAGTTATACAATCAAAACAAACAATTTTTTAATTAAAAAAAGAATTATTTTCTTCCAGTTCGACGTTTATATTTCACATTTTTCGGAAACTCTCCCTCGTTCACACCTGTACATCTGTGTCCCTCGTGTACACGTTCTATCTATGATTGATAGAGTTTCACATATCTCAAAACAGTTTTTCAGGTTTGAAACAACTAAATTTATTAAGTAATTTATATATTACTCACATGTCAGTTTTTATAAAAATAAAAAATGATATTTAAAAATTTATTAATGTGTGTTCTAAAGAATAAATCTTTTTAAACATAAATTTGGCTTACTAATACCATGTAAGCGGGAAAAGAGCTTTGTTCCCAAAAAATTTAACTCTACCCCAAATCACTATAACTTTAGCGTCCGTAAATAAGCGATGCACATGAATAAACATACATCTATAAAACAAAGGAAGTTCCATAACAACAAATAACAATGTTGCGGATGTAAATTAGGTTAGGTTAAGTTATATTTTCGCGTGAGAGTGTGAGAAGAAGGGATCTACTCCTTTCCCGCTCATACATGTATACGTACCGGCATTAATGCCATCCGTATATCTATGTAACTCGTACACGATAACGCGTCACTCACACACTGCTGCCTGTAGGTGAGGCACAAGCAGCACAGAGGGACGGAGAGGGCTAGCGGTATGCGATCGTCGGACACTTGGAGAGGGAATAGTAGTGGGAATCATGATGATCTTCCATCCTCTATCGCAGAGAAAGAGCGTAAGAGCGAGAGAGATAGCATTATAAGACAGGAATGCTGTCCTAAAATACGTGTGACGCACACTAAGAAAACGCTCGACTCATACTGTCTCGTCTATACATGAGCAATACGCGGTGTCCCGATGATTGTTTCGCTCGCTCGAACGTCCATGCATTTTTTCTTGTTAGCGAGGAAATTACTATAATACCTAAAAGGAGATCTTGGGGAAGGATTTTCAGGAGGCTCCGACAAGTGCTTCTTATAGTTGCTCTTGAAAAAAAAAATATTAGATTTATTTCAATATAGAATTCTGCACCAATATAGAATACTGCACCAATACAGCGCTTGTATAGGTTGTCGAAGTAGAGTATTTTTAATTTTAGTGTTGCACAAATACGGGAGATATAATTATTTTATATTTTATGCGTTCGAATATCGTTCCATCGTTATAAAATTTGGTGGCCCTGAAAAGGGCCGATTTTTGCCGAAGAAATTGAGGTCGATAGTCAATAGTTAGTCAATAATCAGCACGATAACTTGATTGAATCGATTAGGTATCGAATCAATCAAGTTTGCGAGAAAGTCTGGTCGAAGCCAAAGTTCTTCGCAGACATCTCTCGCATGATCGACTAACGCTGCTAATGTCTTTTTCCTTTTTGATTCTCAAGTCCCGTCCTTTTCCTTCTTATTATGTAGCATAGTGATGTTTATGTAAGCCTTATGCCTGTGGAGGCTCGAACTCCAGTGGTAGGAGCCTCTACGGGAGCCAAGTGACCTTTTCCCGAGGCTTCGGGAGCGGTTGTGGCTTCAGGGGGTCCCGGATCCTCAGGGTTAGCGATGGCGTCCGCGGGGTCGGCGTAAGTGGGCGCAGCGACCTTCTCCTCGAAGTCGTCGTCGACCTAGACGACTGCGCTGGCTCGATCGGCGTTGGCGTACGTGGACGAGGAGGTTTTATAGGAAACAAAGGCGTCGTTTTTTAAGTCGCTCCCATGGACGATATCGGCGTGGACAATGTCGAAGGTGGCGTCGGCAAGGACGATCTTGTAGGCGGGATCATTTTTCGTGAGGACTCGGGCGATATTTCTGACCTGGGTGGCGAGGATAACCCAAACAGCTCCTCAAGGATCTGGGGAAGACACCTCTTGTTGCAATGCCGGGTTTGATGAGACTTCTTTCGAAGATAGCTTCTTCGGGAAGTCGTCACTTCTGGGGCTACGCCCTGCTCGGGGGAAACCACCTGATCCTCACGAGGAAGAGTAGACTTGTGTGACGGCATGATGCTCTCCTATCTCAATGCTCTGGAAGGTTGATGTCTTGCGACTGATTGCCGAACGAGTCTTGTACTGAGTGGCAGTGATAGAAACTTTGCTAGCGAGCGGTACGCATCGGCGTATGTACTATAAATTTTCGCATGCGTATCTATTCGCACACCGTCACGAATCGGGCCCCAGTTCTAGTGCAGTCCCAGTGCAGAAAAGTAAAACGACCCTATTGGTTTATGAGCAGTACGTATCAACATGAGAGAGGATAATGTACAAATTATCTCCCGTGCTGATGCGTACCGCTTGTTAGCAAAGTTTCTATCACTGTCACTCAGTACAAGACTCGTTCGGTAATCAGTCGCAAGACATCAACCTTCCAGAGCATTGAGATAGGAGAGCATCATGCTGTCACACAGGTCTACTCTTCCTCGTGAGGATCAGATGGTTTCCCCCGAGCAGGGCGTAGCTCCAGAAGTGACGACTTCCCGAGGAAGCTATCTTCGAAAGAAGTCTCATCAAAACCGACATCGCAAGAAGAAGTGTCTCCTCCAGATCCTTGAGGAGCTGTTTGTGTCATCCTCGCCACCCAGGCGAGAAGAAATATCGCCCGAGTCCTCACGAAAAATGATGCCGCCTACAAGATCGTCCTTACCGACGCCACCCTCGACATCGTCCATACCGACGGCATCGTCCATAAGAGCGACTTCAAAAACGATGCCTTTGTTTCCTATAAAACCTCCTTGTCCACGTACGCTAACGCCGATCGAGCCAGCGCAGTCGCCCAGATCGATGACGTCTTCGAGGAGAAGGTCACTTACGCCGACCCCGCAGACGCCATCGCTAACCCTGAGGATTCGGAACCCCCTGAAGCCACAGCCGCTCCCGAAGCCTCGGGAAGAGGTCACTTGGCTTCCGTGGAGGCTCATACCACTGGAGCTCGAGCCTCCACAGGCTCGAGGCTTACATAAACAACACTATGCTACATAGCAAGAAGGAATAGGACGAGACTTGGGAACCAAGAAGGAAAAGGACGGTAGTAGCGTTAGTCAATCATGCGAGAGAAGTCTGGGAAGAACTTCGGCTTCGATCCGACTTTCTCGCGAACTTGATTGATTCGATACCTAATCGATTCAATTAAGTTATTGACCGTGCCGGATATTGGACTGACTATTGACTGACTATTGACTATCGACCTCAATTTCTTCGGCACAAAAATCGGCCTTTTTCAGGGCCACCAAATTTTATAACGATGGAACGATACTCGAACGCATAAAATATGAAATAATTATATCTCGCGTGTTTATGCAACACTAAAATTAAAAATACTCTACTTCAACAATCTATAAAAGTGCTGTATTGTTGCAGTATTCTATATTGGTTCAGAATTCTATATTGAAATAAATCTAATTTTTTTTTTCAAGAGCAGCTATTAAGAAGCACTTGTCGAAGCCTCCTGAAAACCCTTCCCCAAGATCTCCTTTTACATCATAGTAATTTCCTCGCTAATAAAAAAAAAGTGCATGGACGTTCAAGCGAGCGAAACAGTCATCAGGACATCGCGTATTGCTCATATATAGACGAGACAATATGAGTCGAGCGTTTTCTTAGTGTGCGTCACACGTATTTTAGGACAGCATTTCTGTCCACGACGTCTTATAATGCTATCTCTCTCGCTCTTACATCACGCGACTCCCACTACTATTCCTCTCCAAGCATCCGACGATCGCATATCGCTAGCCCCCTCCGCCACTCCGTGCTGCTCGTGCCTCACCTACAGACAGCAATGGTGAGTGACGCGTCATCGTGTGCAAGTCACACGGATATACGGACGGCATTAATGCCGGTGCATGTACATGAGCAAATAATGTTCTAAACGCTAACGTTAACTGATATAATCTTCAAATTTTCTTTGTTAATAACTTTTTAATGAGCGTCGACTAAAATCTTTAGAGAGTTACTCGGGATCATGTCTTTAGTAATATATGTGCAAGTCCGAGATATCGGAGGTAGTACCAGTAATCTGTGTACATTTATCTGAGTTTCTTAGAACCATTTCAATTATCAAACATGTGTGTTGTATGCAGTAAGACTTATTAAATTCAAAGACATTTTTTTCCCTGTGTATCTGTATACGAGCGGATGTATATTCGTTGTGTTAGATATCCTATAATAATCTGAAATCATCGAACAGGTTTCCCACAAATATTAAGTAACATTTATATATTTATTAGTTATAATTTCCCATTTAACAATATAATTGTTATATAATATACGCGTTATATAATAGTTACATTATTAAATACATTATTAAATATACAATTACATAGTTGTTACTTGGTGTTTACTGGGTTCGGTTCGATTTTCGATCTTCTTTTATGATAAATTGAAATTCAATTGAAAATCGAATCAAATTCTAACAGACCTAATAAATGGAAATAATAAAAATCTAGAAAATAACGGGGAAATCTTTTGAGAGATACTTATTAAAATATTGCTAGTAAATTATAAATATTCACACAAAGATAATCGTTAAAATTAAAATCTTTCATAAATTAATTATTGTCTTTGATATCACAGCTCTTTATGGCGTGCCTGTACGACCTGCAGGCCTCGAATATCCTGAACGAGGTCGACAGGTCGAAACTCTTCAGTAATATACCTAATATCTACGCCGCTAATCGCTACTTCTGGACGGAGCATCTGCTCGTGATGTTGCACGCATCGAGATCGAGCGGGCAGCCTCTCGATCCCGGCCATCTTCTGCAGGGGTTCGAAACTTTCGAGCAAACGTTTGCACCTTACACGAGATACTGTGCCGAGCAAAGCAAGTGTCAGCAATATTGTCGGGACCGACTGAACGATAACCAGCTTTTCACGGCGTATTTAGTGGTATGTATACTCTTGTTAATCACCCTCGAGTCGGTCTTATACACATCACGGAGCTTTACAGAAGGTCGATGTATATAGTCTGTATACTTAATAAATTCCATAAATCCATAATAAATTATTAATAACAAATACGAAACTCGAAATGTATATAACACATTCGAGAGATTAAGTGAATAAGCGAAGCAATTAAATTAACAATGGGAGATAACTGATAAGATATATAGACAGGTCTATTTCGTGTGATTGCGATAATATAAACAATATTAAAGAAATAGATATACAGATAGATGATTGCGATAATATAAACAGTATTAAAAAAAATTCGAAGTAAAGAGACATATAACAGAAATCTCAGTATATTAGGTCAGACGAAAGATTCAATTTGATTTTCTTTCCTCTTCAATGATGAAACCATCTCTTTAATAAAAATTTATGAATATTATAGCCATTTCTTGCTATAAAAATGTATAAATATTACAAAAACGCACAGAAAATCATTGACAACGATGATGATTACTTAATAGATGAATAATTTGTTCTTATTGAATGCAACAAAGTCAAATTTAACTAAAAGATCGAACAAAACTTTTTATGATTGACGATAAGTAGAAATAATAGAAATTTCTAGGAAATAACAGACATTTTTCTAAAGATACCCATTAAAATATCAATAATGTATCTCAATTGACATTACAGTGGTGCGAAACACAAAAGGAGTGCAACCGATTAAAACTTCTGGACATACTCGTAAAGCCGATGCAGAGACTAACAAAGTACTCGCTCCTCCTGAAAGCCATTCACAAGAATACTGAGAACGACAATCAACGAGTGGAATTGACCCAGATGGTAAAATTAATCCCACACTATTACGATTTTTCCATAATAATACACATTATGTAGAAGGAACGCTTCGAGAGAAAAAACCAAGTCCGTAATTCGTTAAATTTACTCAAGGCATAAAGTTAAAGTGCATCTTGCGAATCACAGACTCTCCCTCTTTTTCTTTTTCTCCCTCTTTTCCTTTCTCTTTCTCGTTTCAAGCGCTATTCACGCCTGAAACTCACGTAATAGACCAACTCAATAAATAAGTTACAGTATTAAAAGATATCTGAGATATTTGTTTTTGCGCACAGATCAAGTCAGTGGACGATTTTGTGGCGTCTGTGAACGCGGCTCTAAAGAGAAGCGAAGAAACCGCGCGACTAGCCAGCGCGGCCTCGCGTCTCGAAAACTATGATGTCGTGGAGTCTAGAGACGAGGAATTGGAGAAGCTAATCAAAATACACAGCAGTCTCGATATTACTACAGCGCCAATACCAGGCTGCCCGAAGGACACCCTCAGAACTCTGTTACGAGAGGGAGACTTAAAGTTAAAAGATGCCGCCACTAGTAAGGTACGTCGATAATGAAACGTCAATTTATTTAATTCAAATCGAGCCATTTTTCTATACGGTATAATAAAGAAATAAGAAGGAAATCGTGAAGAATAATTTTATAAATTATTTGTCGTGATTTATTCATAACCAAGTAGTAACTAAATAATACTTGATAAAAAAGATCGATAAATATTTACTTTAACTTACCCTCCAGCAATAACTTTGCTATTTACATATATGTTATACAACTCACCTCTCTGAATAACATATGAGAAGTTTTAGCCGACACTTCTTATGTTTGTTAAAAAGTTATTTAAAAAGTTAAAGTAAGTTAAAGTAAGTTAAGTAAGTTAAAAAAAAAACGAAATTATAAATTATATTTTATAAACGAAATATGATTTTGGTACATAGTATACACACAGTGTACATAAATATGGTAATTGAAATATGGTAAACAGAACATGTATATATGTCAGAGAGGGGCTCCATCGTTCTTCCACACCCCCTCTCAAAAAAACTAATCCTAACCTATCTATTGAAATATGATCCATGTACACGTACTAAGAGAAAAATTATCTTAAAATCAACAAATATTTCTTTGATGAGTGTCATTAACATATTTACTTAAATCTAAATTTTCTTTATTTAAACCAAATATTGTTTACTTAAATCAGATAAACAATATTTGATTTAAATAAAAAGAATTTAGATTTAAGTAAATATGTTAATAGCACCCATCAAAGAAATATTTGTTGATTTTAAGATAATTTTTCTCTCAGTGTATATGCGTAACCTATATTTTACCTTTTTATACATAATTTATCAATGAAAAACAATATAACAATAAAAAGTACAGATACTTGTAATATGTTTTGCACATAGTGTATACTGAAATATTACAAACAATACCGGCATTTGTATTTTTATATTGTTTTTCATTGATAAATTATGTGTAAAAATGTAAAAAATAGGTTGCACATATACATGTACGATTTATCACAATAGATGGATTAGGTTAAAGTTAGTTTTTTTGGGAAAGGGGTGCGGGGAATGAAGCCCGAGAAATTAATTGTAAAAGATTAAGGAAAAACGCACGCTGAATGGTTGAGGGAGAAACGTCTGCGACCCAATAATATAGCAGGCAAATGTAATATAGCGCGCATCTTATATCGCTCTGATCCTACGTCTTGCCGCACCGCGCCAAGGCGAGATGTAGGAGTGCAACGATATAAGACAATGGTGCGTTGTTTTTCCAATCACCACATGCCAATATCCGTGTGCTATATTATTAGGCCGCGAGCGCTCCATCCTCAACTATTCAGCGTAAGTTTTTTTTTTATCTTTTACAATTAATTTCTCGATTATTATTGCGAATATTGCAAAACGATGTAGGACTTTTATGTTTATCTCAACTCATTCTACATTCCTACAAAATATGCAAAGAAGAATCTGGGACACCTTGTATCCCGAATGTTATGCAATGCAGTTCTCGGGGCGTTCCTGGGGTTATGGTCGAAGCAGGACGCTCTGTGTGAGTCCGACATAACCTTTGACTTTACCTAGAAGGTCGGGGCTATGCATAATGCATTTCCCTATCGTCAACAAAAAAAAAAGGGACACCCTATATATGTACTGTTTACCATATTTATGTATATTGTATGTATACTATGTATCGAAATTACGTTCCATTTATAAACTTTTGTTAATAATGTTTTAATAACAAACAACGGCTAAAACTTCTCATATGTTACTCAGAAAGGTGAGTTGTATAATATACAGAGTGTTTAAAAAGTTCCGGGGCGGCTAAATAACTCCTCAGGAAAACGTTATCGAGAAAAACGTTAAATATCAAAATTTTAGGATTGAAAACAAGAAATTCGATAATGATCTTGATCTTAACCCAAAGGTCAAATTTATAGGTTATTTCAAGGTAAACTTGAAAATCTTAAATGGAAATCCCCATTTTTTATGTCGGAAATGGAAAGAACGGGAAATTTTACGTCCGGGTATGTATTTAGTCATTGAGTCAATGATCCCTGAGGGTCATTTGAGGGTAACTTGAATCCATCGATTTTCGAAATGACCGTTAATTAAGAAGTTCACTCCATAAAGTACATTCGTACACGACAAATTTGTATGACATTAATGTGAACGTAATATCTAGTGAAAATTGAATCAAACTCATTTCTAGGAGTTATTCAAGAACTGAATAAATTTTCCCATGTAAAATCATACCAAAAAACTAATTAGAAAAATTAGATTACTTTCGAAGTATTTTTCATTATGCTCCATGCATCAAATTTTTCATCACGACTGTTTCGTAATACATACTGTGTGTAGAATTACTGTTCTCTGAACCCGAAAATTTCCGATTGGTATTGTTTAAAGATTTCTTTTCGATTGTATCCGTTCGTTGAACAAGAATTGTTAATGAGATTTTTTCATTCATTTAATGATGAATTAGCTGTTTTCCTTTCAATTATCCATTGATTTTGTTATTCTAAATTTCAAAAAGAAATAAGTTGAATTATTGATCAGAAATCATGATCGGAATTATTAATCAGAAAAATTGAGCAAATATGTTGAGTAAATACGAAAACTTCCATCTGCATTATTACTGTTCGCCAAAATGTAACGTTTTACTGAACGAGAAAGAATATCTCTCCTAATGATAAGAAGTTGGGAGAATAAGGTCAGAAGATCTTATAATCAAGTAAAGTACTTTTTCAATGTAACGTTTAGAAATGGGACGGTTCCTATTTCAAAATCAACTATCGAAAGATAGTTGATTTTGAAAACGGTTTGAAGATACAGGTAGCGTCAAAGATCCACTTAGATCAGAAAGATCAAGTTCAGCAATAAATGCAGAAAAGTCATTGCATGTTTTATTATCATTCACAGAAAATCCTTATAGTTCTATCCGCAGTACTGCTGAAGAACATGAAAGAGTAGAGTGTCTGTCCATAATATATTGAAAAAATAAATAAATTTCACCCTTACAAAATTAAATTTATTTATGAGTTAAATGAAAATGATTTCGATCGACGTGTGGAGTTCTGTGAGGATATGATGTTCTGAATAGATGAAGATCCTGACTTTACATCAAATATAGCCTTCTCGGTTGAAGTAATATTCCAACTAGATGGTATTCTGAATAACCATAACTGTAGATATTGGTCCAATACAAATCCTAATTAGATGCGAGAACATTATACGCAATATCCGGGGAAACTGAACATTTGGGCTGGAATATTAAATAATAGATTAATAGAACCATTCTTCGTTGATGGCAATTTGAACGCCGCAAACTATGAATACAAATCAAATAGCTTCGAAATCAAATAGTTTTGGCAATAAGAAGAATTATTGGCGAAAACTTTGAGCACGTATAGTTTCAGCAGGATGATGTTGCGCCCCATTTTGAACGAAACGTTCGTGCTTATGTAGGCACAGTTTTCCCTGATCAGTGGATAGGACGGAGAAGCGTGATTGAGTCTGGCCAGCCAGATTTTACTCCTCTCAATTATTTTTTATGGGGTTATCTAAAAGATTCGGGTGTACACAACTAACCTCAAAATTTAAACGAATTGCGTCAACGAATACTAGATGAAATCGTCCTTATACCTGCTGAATACTTCGAAAATGCAATCGCAACTTTTTATCATCGATTAGCTTACTGCCAAGAAGCCAACAGTCAACAGTTTGAGTATTTGACTGCTGATACTTTCAATTATCGGACTGCTCTAATACTTTATCTTGTCTTAATTGGCTGGACAGTCATTACAGTCTTGCCTTAACTGGTTGGACAATGTTTCGTCTTGTCTTAATTGGCAAGACAATTGGACAATTACACAGTCTCGACTTAACTGTCTGGACAAATACTTGTCTTAAATGACTTCTAAACTTGACCTTTGGTCAAGGTCACCATCAAGTATCTCGCTTTAATCACTGAAACATTTTTTCTGAAAACGCTTTTCTGAAGAATTATCCAATCGTTAAACGTTTGATCCTCAAATGACCCTCAGGGATCACTTTGATCTAATGACTAAATATCATATACGGACGTAAAATTTCCCGTTCTTTCCAGTTTCAAGATAAAATTGAGGGTTTCCATTTAAGATTTTCAAGTTTACCTTGAAATGATCTCTAAACATTACCTTTGGGTCAAGATCAAAGTCATCGAATTCCTTGTTTTTAATTTTAAAACTTTTGTACTTAACGTTTTTCTCGATAATGCTTTCCTAAGAAGTTATTTAGCCGTCCCGGAACTTTTTAGACACTCTGTATATGAATAGCAAAGTCATTGCTGTGGAGGGTAAGTTAAAATAAATATTCACCAAAACATCTTTAGTTCTAAGTAAATTTTTATAAATATTAAGAAATCCTAAAGGGCTCAAAGGTAAGTGAAAAAAGGTAAGTGAAAGATATTATCGATCATTTTTGGTTATCCGACATAAATATCTAGACATTTAATATGTACTAAAAGGTTGATTTCATACTTTACAACTATCATAATGTTTTATCACTATACAGGGTGTCCCATTTTAATCGATCACCTCAAATATCTTTTGAACAGTGCATTTTAGGGAAAAATGTTTCAGATAAAAGTTTCGGATTTCGAGGGGGACATAAACTGATATTATTGGTTTGACCTTGAGTTTGACCTTGAGACGTCAAGGTCAGGACAAAGTCACTTTCAATTTTTTAATCTGAACTCCCCATTTTTCATTACATATTCTTATAGCATATCTCGAGAGCTTTCCAAAACACTATAATAAAATATTTTTTCATTAAGTATCTTTTGAGTTAAAAGGCTTCAAAATTACAATATTGTTGCCATTAGCATTAGTACCCAAGGTGTTCGACCGACGACTGAAATCTTTTGAATGTTGTTCTAACATTCTATATTTTCCATGGGGCCATGTCCTGGACAAGATCAAGGCGATCGGGGACTGTTCCTAATATTTTCATTTCTTCAAATTTTACAGTGAAAACGAAAATAATAATTTAAAATCATGGGGTAACATGTGGAGTCCGATTGACTCTAAAGGATCATATAAAGATTACAATGCTTCGTCGGGGCCACAAAGAAGCACACATGTGAAATCCTATTATTAAATTTCTTTAATAATTATTAATTATTAATAATTATTTATTATTTAATAATTATTAATTTTTTTATATTTAGTAATTATTAAAGAAATTTATTAATGGGATTTCACATGTGTGTTTCTTTGTGGCCTTGACGAAGCATTGTGACCTTCATATGATTCTTTAGAGTCAATCGGACTCCACATGTTACCCCATGATTTTAAATTATTATTTTTGTTTTCGTTTTCACTGTAAAATTTGAAGAAATGAAAATATTAGGAACAGCCCTCAATCGCCTTGACCTTGACAAATGTTGTCCAGGTCCTGAAAAATGGGGAGTTAAAAAATGGGGATTAAAAAATTCAAAGTGACTTTGTCCTGACCTTGATGCCACTCAAGGTCAATGATATCAGCTTACCTTCTCGAAATCCCAAAACTTTTATCTGAAACATTTTTCCCTAAAATGCACTATTTAAAAGATATTTAAGGTGATCGATTAAAATCATACGATTAGAATCATATTTATACAGGGACAATCTGTATAAATATGGTTCTAAAAGTTGATTTATTAGTTAGAGAAACCTTTTAGCAATACCAAACATGCTAAAGAAATACGTGGAATTGAGTTATTGAAAAAACAAACTTAGATGATAGGTATAGCCACCAGAGCTGCACTATGCAGCAAAGGGTTAATATTGATATAATCTTACTATTATCGGATGTTTGTTAGATAACGATCCTTTTCCAAATAAAATAATTAAAATAGTTAAAATATGCAATAATTTTCAGATTTTATAAGGGGTTACAATTTGTAGAAATATAATATATTAGGTGCTAAAATAAGTTTCCACCGTTTTTCTGTGAAATAAAAGACATGTGTTTCATGAGAAACAGAAAGAATAGTTTATTCAAAGTAGTGCTCATTGTTAGCTATAACCTTTTCCCATTTTTCACGTAATAAATGGATTCAATGCTCAAGCCAATTTTTGATATCTTCATACGAAGTGAAATGCTGCTCAGCAAGGCCATGCTGCATGGACCGAAACAAATGAAAATCTGAAGGAGCCAGGTCTGGGGAATATAGCGGGTGAGGTAACACATCCCAGCCGAATGCTTCCAACGTATCCTTGACTGGTTTCGCAATATATGATCGAGCATTGTCGTGTAGGAAAATCACTTTTTTGTATCTTTTAGCATACGAGGTCTGTTCAAAAAGTATCGCGAATTTTGTGTTTTTTCAAAAATTATTTATTTATTCATGAATATCTATTTTGTCCCCTTCAAAGTAATCCCCATCAGATATTATACACTTGTGCCAACGTTTTTCCCAATCCTCGAAGCACTTCAAAAAATCATTTTTTGTGATCTTGTTCAGCTCCTCCTTCGATGCCGTCTTTATCTCCTCAATCGTAGCGTAGCGTCGTCCTTTCATGTGCCTCTTCAGTTTCGGGAACAAGAAAAAGTCACAGGGGGCCAGGTCTGGGGAATACGGTGGCTGCGGCATCATTAGTGTGTTGTTTTTGGCCAAAAATTCGCGCACAAGCAACGATGTGTGAGCAGGGGCGTTATCATGGTGCAAAAGCCAATTTTTGTTCTTCCACAAATCCGGGCGTTTCTGGCGGATTGCTTCGCGCAAATTGCGCATAACTTGCAGGTAATATTCCTTATTGACCGTTCTACCCTGTGGCAAAAACTCATGATGCACCACGCCCCTGCAATCGAAGAAAACTGTAAGCAAAACCTTCACATTCGACCGAACTTGGCGCGCTTTTTTCGGTCTTGGCTCGTGCGGCAGCTTCCATTGGGATGATTGAGCTTTGGTTTCCACGTCATAACCATAAACCCATGATTCGTCACCAGTTATGATCCTTTGGAGTAAATTTGGGTCGTCGCGGACAGAGTCCAACAGCTCCCTAGCAATGTTAATGCGATGCTGTTTTTGGTCGAAATTGAGCAATTTTGGTACGAATTTCGCGGCGACCCGTCTCATGCCCAAATCATTAGTAAAAATCGAATGGCACGAGCCAATCGATATGTTTAGGTCCTCAGCAACTTCTCTAACGGTGATTCGACGATTGGTCAATACTATTTTCTTCACTTCATCAATGTTTTCGTCTGTTGTTGACGTGCTCGGGCGTCCGGCACGCTCTTCGTCGTTCACATCTTCTCGGCCCTCTGAGAACATTTTGTACCACCGATAAACGTTGCTTCGGTCCAAGGTAACTTCACCATATGCCACAGTCAACATTCGGAATGCGTCCGCGCACTTAATTTTGTTTTTCACACAAAATTTGATACAGATTCTTTGATCCATTTTTTGGAATAGGCAAAAATCGAAGACGAGCCAAAACACGTCCAAGCAAAACAGCTGTCAAACATAAACTGAATATTCAAAATGGCCGAACTTGTCGGCATAAGTGAGGAACATGAGTACCAACATAACGCCACAAAAAAATCGAAAATCGAATATACGTAACCCGCGGAAATTCAAAATTCGCGATACTTTTTGAACAGACCTCGTATTCTGGACGTTCGTCTTTCAATGCACGGTTCAAATTCATTAATTGTTCTCGGTGACGTTCACTATTGATGGTCTGACACGGTTTCAGCAGCTCATAATACACCACGCCTTTTTTTATCCCACCAAGTACACAACATGACCTTCCGTCCATGAATATTTCGTTTTGGCGTGGATGATGATGGCTGGCCGGGCTTGCTTCATGTTTTTGGTCGTTTCGGATTCTCATAGTGAATACATTTTTCATCCCCAATAACGATTCGATGGAAAAATAACTTCCTGTTCTGTCTTTGAAGCAACAATTTGCAGGTTAAACGCCTTTCAAAGTCTCTTTTTTTCAATTTATGTGGTAGCCAGTGTCTTAATTTTTGAATCATTTCCATTGCTTTTAAATGTTTGCTAACAGTTGATTGATCAACATTTAATGCCTGTGACAATTCTTTCAGCGTTCGACATGGATCTTTGTCAAGTAATGCTTCCAGTTGTTCATTTTCAAATTTTTTCGGTGCGCCTTTGCGTTGTTTATCTTTCATATCAAAATCATTACTTCTAAAATATTGAAACCACTCTCTACAACTTCTTTCGGACGGAGCATACTCCCCATACACCTCCACAAGTAAATGATAACTTTCAGCTGCACTTTTTTTAACAATAAAATAATGCAGTAAAACTTCCCGCAAATGCTGTTTTGCTGGCACAAAAGTCGACATTTTCAAAGCAATGACACAAATGTTGTTTACATGTCAACCAAATGTCATATACTAAATATGGAAGTTTGTTTATAGTATTATTGTATACATATGTTACCATTAGAAATTCTATGTATGTAATACTCGTTGCGATATCTCTTACAAAACTGCGGAAACTTATTCAAGCACTCAATATATAAATCCAATTCACATTCATATTCACAATTTAATGAAATATCAATGATTTCGCTTTTCTCTTTATTATATCGAAATATTTATTCATAAAGAAAGCTCCAATTATAATATAACACGCACAAAACACTGAAAGTAACATAGATATCTAATGAATACAGCAAGAGAAAATAATTTTAATGAACGAAACACTCGTAATTCTTTATGAATTTCAGGGCATATAAAATGAGTCGTGAAGTATTCCGTACAATATGCTTTTCATAAATGCTTCAAGACAAATTTAATTGTTCACAAGTTTAATTCTTTATGAATTTTTCAAATATTCATTTTTCTAATTCTATGGGTATTTTTTAAAAAGAATTTTTTTTTTTAATTTCTACTGACTTCTATACTCTCTGAGTATACTCTCTGAGTATACTGGAGAAAGTTTACTCGCATGTTTTACATCCGAACATAAAAAGGAAAGAGACAGATTGCAGATTATATATGTATCTGTCTAGTAAATTCTGATTCAACAATTTTCTATGTTACTTACTGAAAACATATGCTTTACTAATACAAATATAATCTATTATAAGTGTAGAGTTTACATCAAGAGACGTAGTAACATTTCGCATTAAGTAAACACGCAAAGTGAGAAAAGAGAATGAAACTAACCACATATCTTAACGCGATGTCTTTAGTTAAACGGAGACAAGATTATCATTATCGTCATAATACAACTTTACGTTTAACGAGTCTCCTGAATACAGCCAATGTTTTCAGCTTGAAAAGTAGAGTAATAGAAGATTACTCGCTAGTCCATGTTACGAGACATTTCTGTAAATGTTAGTTTTGAAGTTCCACTTTCTTCTGCAGTTATCTCTCTTTTCTGATACAATGCCGCGCATTCTCATTGCTATCTTTTGGTCCTTGTTTCTTCTAATATTCCATTTCAGTTTTCAATTTCAATTTCAGAGAGCTAAAACTTTCAAAAATGGCCAATGGTATCTCGCATTGCCGGTTCTAAATTATCAGAACTTCTCTTGTAATTACTATTAACCATAGAAAGACTGCGACTATTAATTAAAGTTATAAGAAGTTCAATTTCTTGCTGCGTCTAAGAAGAAGCGGATAATCAGTTAAATCCCAATTTATACCCCGACTAACGACCCATATACGTTTATTATCAAATTAAATACGAAATCTGTTAATTGTCCTTCTCTTTAGATGGAGGTGCACGTATTATTATTGACAGACATGCTACTGATCTGTAAACCTTCAACAAAGAAAACGTCGTCGAGCGGCATGGTAGGAGGCGCCGGGTGCGGTTTGAAGATCGTTAGGCAGCCGTACGTCATCGACCGCATACGAATCTACGAGCTCAAAGAATCGTCTAGTCTAGGATTGGTTTATCTTAATGAATACGGAGCGGCCTCAGCCGCTTTGATTCTCAGCACTGGAGAACCGAAACTAGCTAAGGTAATTCGATTAAATGAGTCACTAGATATAAGCCACCGTAAATCACGGCGAAATTCGCACGTTAATCTGTGGTCCCGATATAGATTCCGTTTTTCTAGTCTTTTTGCTAAAATGCAGCTTCATCTGCGTGTCATTTAATTAAAACTATAATTCGACCGAATCTATCTCTATTTTTTGACCGCACGCGATGCTACAATCTCAGAAGAAAAATATTTTCTAACGAAGTGAGCAGAGAAGTTCACGAAACATTGGAAAAAATCCACAAAAAATATATATAACTTCAAACAAGAAACTAAAAGAGTATAGCAGGATAATTATGTATGTGCTGTCCTTGCATGAATCTGGTAGAGATTTTTTTACCATTAGTTGGCAATAATTGAAAATCGAAAATACGAATTTTCACTTTAATGGATGAACCGATTTTGACCAAAAAAATATATTAATGAGTTTAATGGTACGATGTTTAAAAAAAATTATGAAAATTTTTTTTCGGAAAAACCACTTGAAAAAATATTCAAAATATTTTCAAATTCTTTTTTATATATTATACTTAAGATACTACTATCATTTTTTACTAAAAAATTTTTCGACTTATGTAATATAATATATTTAATTTTCAAAACGATCAGAAAGTATTCGTTTGACTTTCGGACAGTAAACACGCGTGTGACTGTGCTCCGACGTCAATCTGAATAAGTGAGAGAGAAAACAAATTCCACTAAGGCACACTTTGCCAAAACTGTCCTAAAACTGGTAATTATATTATTTTATATTAAGCACTCTGTGCATCCATATTAAAAGAATCGTATTATTATTATTACACGAGCTAACTAGCGCGCCGAGAAGAATACCCATTTCCGAGTAGTCGATCCGGACGGGTCTCTTATCGCGATGTACGGATAAACCGCGATGTACCTTAAATTATAAATATAAACAAAACAGGGCCGGCTTAGAATAGTCTGCTAGTATAATATTACTTAAACTTTGTGGCGAGCTACTGATGCCATTGCAATGTATAATAACTTGCAAACGCCTCAAACACAAACCACAATACCGCAATTTTACCCAACTACACAAGCAGAAGTGCAAACATTGCGCATAAACAACGCTCTCTTTACGGAGAATAATCAAAGGTCTCAAAATGAGCAACAGCTCTATGTCGCATAGGCACAATCAGAAGCTGAAAAAAGAAGACTTGCATCAGTCGTAACTGCTTTTCAAGAATAGATAAATTCGTTGAAAGAAGAAATCAACAAACCTAAAGAAATGATTATATATGAAACAGACAAAGAAGAACTCACCTATGAAACAGAGTGGTTACTTACAACGTCAAAAAAAAACGGAAGTGTGAGGCGATAACCAATACACCCAAACACTCCATACAAAATGCTAAAAGTAAAGATAAAAAAATAGAAGATAGTCAGCGTACACAACACAAACCTGTACGAAGACCTCCCCCGATTATGGCAACTGTGAAAAATCACATAGAGTTGACTGCCTTACCAGATCAAACTAGTTGCTAGTTGGAAGGAAGAACTTTCGGATCAAAATTTTCAACAACAACGTAGTCAAAATAGAAGTCACATTGAATGATATAACAATTACACAGAGATTAACAGACAACAAAATAGAGTGGCACTCTTTTGAAAATAAACAAACACGAGAAATAAGAATAATGATGAAAAACTTACACCACACTACAATCCCGCTGATATTATCCAAGACCTAAAGAATCAAGGATTAAAAGCAACCAATGCCACAAATAAATAACGTAACAAGGAAACTAACAATAAAAGGACAGAATCTAAGAACCAAACTTATCCTACTCAAAGAAAACAAGAAAGTACGAGTGTAAAAATCCAAACAGATAATCGAACATATACCTAACTGACAATGAGCAAAAATCCAAAAAAACAATCAATCATCTCCGAAACGATGTTGCAACAGATAATGTAGCGACTTAGCAAACTTGAAAACAAACTAAACGTCTAACTTTCTTAGAATTATGGAATAAAATGCTAACGGATTGCTACAGCACAAAGACGAGCTGCAGGTAATCCTTAGCGTTGAAAACATTGACACTGAGATGCCTGATCACAGAAACGCATCTCACAAAGAAATCGTACATAAAATTCCGAAATTACAATACACGGTTCACCCCTCCAATGCAGCACGGGGAGGCAATTCTGTAATCATTAGAGACAACATCAAACATACTGAAAAAGAGAAATATACAACTTATGAGATCCAAGCCACAACCGTAACGGCACCACGATAAAACAAATATTTACGGTTGGTGCGATATACTATCCCCTACGATTTACTATCTATGCGGACCTAACATTTTTCAAGAAACTGAATAAACGATTTATCATAGGAGATGATTTTAATGCGAAACACCTATTGGGGATCAAAGCTAACCACAACAAAAGGACGTGAGCTATACTCAACTGCTGAAGACTATGGATGCGAATTCTGCTCCACAAGCAGACTACTCTGTTTAATGCTTTAATCAGGCTGAAGTATGTTCCGCAGGCGTGGAAGATATCAAAAATAATTATGGTGCCTAAACCTGGCAAAAATCACTGCAAGGCAGAATCCTATCGACCAATTGTACTGCTACCAGTCTTATCTAAATTGTTCGAAAAGCTTATCCTGAAACGACTCAAACTAGTTATAAAAAAGTACCAACTTGTACCTTCGCATCAGTTCGGCTTCCGCAACAATCATACGACAATAGATCAAGTCAACTGGATAACTGACGTTATCGAAAAAACGTTTGACCATGGGAAAGTCTGCTCTGCAGTCTTCCTAGATATTTCACAGGCGTTTGACAGAGTCTGGCATCAAGGTCTGATACACAAAATAAAATCTATGCTCCTGGATCAATATTATCAACTATTCAAATCGTACCTAACAGAACGAAAATTCCGCACCAAGCATGAAAACGCATACTCCGAGTTAAAAAATATACGAGCTGGTATGCCACAGGGAAGTGTCCTGGAACCAATACTATATCTGCTTTACATCAATGATATACCAAAAACATGAGATAGCACAATCGTCACGTTTGCAGACGACACTGCACTGCTAGTCACAGGAAACTCCACAGAAGAAGCCATAGCAAGATTACAAAGATCAGTCAATAAAGTCGTCACCTGGACACGTAAATGGCACATTAAACTAAATAAAACTAAAACGATTCATATTAATTTTACAAACAAAAGGAATAATCCAAGGCCAATCTTCATTAATGGCACCCAAATCAAATATGCCAACACAGCAAAGTACCTGGGCATGACCCTGAACGCTAAACTTAGATGGAAGAAACATATCAAGAAGAAACAAGCAAAACTACAATTAAAATTCTGAAAAATGTATTGGCTCACTGGGCGTTGGACGCAGGTCTGAACTTTCTACATACAAGTTAACCTTATACAAACAGACTTTATGACCAACATGGACGTACGGTATCCAGTTGTGGGGCTATGTAAGCAAGCACAACATCGAAGTGATACAGCGCTTCCAGAACAAAGTACTCCGATGTATTATTAACGCGCCTTGGTGCGAACTCTGATCTCCATCGAGACTTGAAATCGAAACAGTCTCAGATATTATCAAAAAATACACTATCTCCCATAGGAATAGACTACAGAATGAGGAAACGTCCAGGCTACTGAATGTGCAGAATATTATTCGACGACTCAAACGCATCAAATCCTTTGAGCTAGTTCCACGATAACAGAAACTAGGTAATCCGCTGTGAGTCATCTAGTCTAATTATCCTAGTACTTTAAGTCAGCAAAAAGTAGATTGTTAGTTCATGTTGAACTAGTTTTTACACGACTATTGTTATGCAATAAAAAAAAAGAAAAACGACCAGAAAAGCATATCATAATTTTAAAAACTGAAGAGTGAGCGTACCGCGTACAGTTTGCCAGGCGCTACACAATAAGTACACAGAACAGCATTTATTTATTTTGTCACCATAACTGTTCGTACGATCTTCAATTGTTTTTTCTCTCCTATCGTTTCATTTCTTACATTCATTTATTATTTTATTATTACTTCCGGTAACGATCCGATAATACTCCGCGTATGAGGCTTAAATTTTGCATCTTAAGCCTTATTTATACTGCCCTAAATTGGCAGTTCGATCCGGAGGGGAGCGGTGCACTTGGACACGGTGCATTTAGACACAGCCAATCACAGCACCGTGTGATTAGAGACATTTGTAGGGTCCCTTGGAACAGCGATTTGTGATTGGACTGTGTCCAATTGCCCCGTGTCCAACTGATATACACCCGATCCGGAGACTATCTTCGATGATTCTCGTCGACGTCATCTCGACGTCGATATCTATTGCCCTTGCGATAGATAACTAGCAACACTTATCGCGGCCGTTAAGAGCTACTTTCAGCTCTAATAGAATTCTCCTAAAGCCGTGTTTTGGCTCTGGTGGAATTCTCGGTTGCGGAACCTTTGTAATCGGACTTTAGATTTTCCTAGTCGGGCTTATATCTCTATTTTACTCCTTCCAGTATTCAATAGATTAGCTTTACTTTGGAATCACAGTCGCCAGATTTTAACCTTTTAAAGGTTAACACATTTTTTCAAGGTTGTCTTTCGATGAACATACTTATCACTACTCACATTTTCCCGCTTATTATTTCAAATTTCAATTCATATATTTAATATTCTTTTCTATAAACCTTCTTTCCTAAATTTTTCCTAAACTATACCTAACTAAGAAATAAATTTGCTTTAGCATTTTGCATCTACCATCAATTTTGTCCTACTTTCTTATTCACTTTAGCATCAACTTAGTACTTTTGGTCATGTCTACAAATATTTTGAAAGGCAAATTTAACACAACTCCTGTTTCATACTTATCGAATATATTTATATACTCAGCTCTATATTGTTGTTAACAAAATACAATCCTTTTTCTCTAATATATTACAATTTAATTTGTTCTACTTTGCTGAGTCATAACTTAT